GAGTCCTGGAGGCAATACTGGTCAGCAGCTTTCATCCTGCATAATTAATGAGTCTATTTAGCCTTAAACTGCCATGACTGAACATTATCATACATCTAATTACTCATATATCTAATGTGCTGGTTGTATGAAAGCTTGGTGTAGTTTTGTGGTCTATTGTAAAACCAGAAATGCCATTTCTGTAAAAATTTCCCATGTCTTTTTTCTTAAGACGAAAGGCCAAGCTCCCACTTCTATTAGAGAAGTGTTTTTATAACAGGTTATATCACTGGGCTATAAACCAGAAGGACACCTGAGCTACAGGTCAGGTGGCGGTCTGAGTCTGGAGCCCTGAGCTCTGCAGTCCCAGCGATCAGCACCAGAATACCTGTTCAGACTCATTTAAACAGCCAGAGTGACCTTGTTTATTGAAATGAGTTTGTCAAAGTCGAGCAGAACACCGGAAGTATTAGGAAAAACACAGCTCAATCCGCTGGGGAAGGCTGTGCAATTATTTAGGAAGGGACAGCTTGGCGAGAAGCACTTGTCCCTCTTTTTAGCAGATCGCAATTAGAAAGGCAAATGATCAATTAAAAGAATCTGTTGCCATGGAGAGTTTTGGTCGTCTGACAGTGTTTCTGTGAAATCCTTTTCTCAGAGACACTTTGAACTGGCTCGTATGGAGATTCACTTTAACTCCATCAAGTCCTGATTCTCATCCACTCTTTTTTTTGCATTTTCTACCAGCAAAGGTCAGACACAAAGGTCATATTAAGTGGAAACGTTCCAAATTCCCCAAAAGAATCATTAAAGTTTTATTTAATCTAATGGTCTGAGGGACACTTCCTAATTGAGGAAACAAAGGGATAATGGTTTAAGCCCGAGTCTTTTCCGGTGTGGCATCACAAGGGAGGATTTCTCTCCCTGTGATCTGTGCAGGGACAGTGATTTGAAAATGAGGTGACATGAGTTGACCATGAGCAATCGCTCTCTCATCTGGCGGTGTTTTCTATTTGTGTCAGCCAACATGTGTTTTTCATGATGGGACCTGACACCTCCCTGCGGAGCAGCACGGAGCATGAAGAGCGACAAAGTGGAGAGGCTATAGGAGAAACAATTTCACACCGACTGCAAATTACACTCTGATCAGCTAAAATGTCTGAACATAATGTGTGAATGTTCAAAGACGACAGATATTTGAGAGAAAAATCAACTTTGTACTTCTTGACGACATTTACAAAATCAAATTTTCTCCTCATCTTTCTCTTAAATTGCCTGTTTTATTTTATGTGAGTGCACAGTATGCAGCAAGTTACTTTGACCTCTGCGTACACTGTATGTCTGGAACTTAGTTTTTCCCCGGGCTGAATGTCTGGCTGAAATGGATTTACTGTTAAAGATAATGGGATGGGTTTTACCACACTGTGGAAGGTGACTTAACATTTATAAGGAGTTTATGCCTAAGTGGAAAAATGCTATGTTTTTAAGGGTTTCCACAGACATTAGTAATTAGCAGTTTCATTGTATTGCACAATAGCTGAACTAAGTGTGAAACAGACAAGTGAGAGTTCTGCTTTTTATCATCAAACTATTTAAGATTCTAATGGCTGGTATTGGATTAAGCTCTCCATCTTGAAAGCGTGGCTTGGCGGCAGGCCCCTCTGGAGCGGTGACCGAGGCACCCAGTGGCAGAGGTAGTGACGTAGGTACGTGTAGCAGCAATGAATCACTGGAAGACAATGCCCCTCTCGCAGCCTGAGCTGTTTGCTGATGCACATTCATTGAAAACAACACAGGTCAGGAGGCAACCTGCTGGGGAATCATTAGTATGGTGCAATGTGCAGAAACAAAGTCAGCCCTGCAGACTGCACCAGAATATACCTGTTGTACACACAACTATTGGATGCTATTTGATTGTCCTGATTAGTCATCATTGTTGCATTATGGCACTGTAACTGTTGTGAATTTGATCAAAAAGAGCTGTTACTGTAGTTTGTTGTTTAATATTTTTGTCATGTAAAGCACATTCAAATCTGATTCTGCACACATAAGTCTGAAAATGTGCTGTGACTGAGAGGCAGAAAATTGAAAATCAAAACTTATTGTGCCTTAATATTCAGTCTTTCACCTTTAGAAACCAAGAACCCCCGCAATTATTTTGAACTAACCCATTCAAGTGAAAATGCCAGCAGGTCTGGCACCTATAGGCCTATTCTGAAAGCACAAAGGTAGACGCCTGGTGCACGCGCGCGCGCACACTCACATATGACTCATCTCATCTAAACTAAAGCACTTTGTCAGAGGCATCCATTCACGTTACACCCATGCAAGAACGCGCAGACTCAATCTCGGCTTGGAGCGCGACACTTGTAGTGAGGTTGGCTATATAAGTCCATTCAGCATCTACTCTTTAAGTAACTATATACTTGTTTCTTCAAGGAAGTGAAGGAGGGCGGCATCTCGCCAACTACCTGGCAACCTGCAAGGCTGTACTGGACCTCCTCTAAAGATTGAAGGTAGGAATATCTGCATGAATTCTTTGGCATGTTACATTTTCTCGTTTTCTCAGCGCGACTTTAATCAGAAAGTGGATTTTTTTCCTTATTAATTGCACTGTATTTCAGTTATATAGTGCTGGTAATAACTTCCACAGTTTATCCATTACTGAGCCAAAAATCCAATCTCTTTACGTGCAATTATTCCACGTTACGGACGAATTAAAAAAGACCCATTTGTCTAATTACTGCACATAAGGTTAATTTTAAAAAATCTCTCACAACAATAAATACACTGGAACACTCTTACTCATAGTTACCACACCGTGACATTAATACGATACCTGTTTTACGTGCGTAAAGTCCTCATTACGCAGCACATTTCACACCAGAGTGGGGTTAAAAAATTAATCCAGGCGTTTGTTTTTCTCCTCAGATTCCTGCTGATATCCTGACATGAAGCTCAATTTACTTGGCACCACCGTGATTCTGCTAGTTGCCTTCTTACCGCGCTACGAATGTCGGGCTATTGAGAGCCCTGGCGGTGCCCTGCGCGTCCCAGCTCCCCAAACCCAAAGCTCCCAGCAGCAGCAACAGAAGCAGCAGTCTGGCCCCATCCTGGAGCGGCTTGGAGAGGAGTATTTCATCCGACTGGGCAACGGGGACTCTAACTCTTTCCCATCATCATCCATGTATCCCGGCGGATCACCTGCCATCTACAACAGAGCATTGCAACTCCAGCTGACGCGGCGTCTTTTACAAGGGAAAGTTGGGAACATCAGAGCGCTCATAAGCGGCTTCGGAGAGCGCGGGGACGACTCGATGGAGAGGGGAAGGAGGTCCGAGGACCCCCCGATATCCCTGGATCTGACCTTCCACCTGCTGCGGGAGATGATGGAGATGTCCAGGGCGGAACAGCTGGCTCAGCAGGCGCAGAACAACAGAAGAATGATGGAGCTCTTCGGGAAATGAAGACCTCTTTCCAGTCCGCCAAAGATCTCCCTTCTTTTTCTTTTCTCTTTTTCTTTTTGCATTTCTACCATCAGCACAAAACATGCTCTGTACAATATAGTGCTGCTTTATCACTCTATTATTTATAGCTTTAACCTCAAACTATGGAGCGTAAGCAGGCTTGACTTATAATGATCCGATTGTACCTTGCCATTTTGATGTGTCAAATCTGTAGAATCACACGTTCTTCATGTTTGAGATGAAATACTTTTGGTTGAGACATGAAATACTGCATTGACAATTTTGTTTTAGATTATGAATCCCTGTATTTATGATATTTATGTTTGTTAATAAACTTATGTGCAACCAGTCATTTTCTGTTGTGCAAGAGAACATCTTATATTTTTTAATAAAAAATTAAAAGCAATGCTTACACTTCTCTGTGGATATCCTTACATATAAGTTAATAATAACTCCCATGAAAACTAACTATCCCAAATTACTTTGATTACTAATTTGATTAACATACATTCTCCTAATGATTCTGGACATATAATCTTATATAGGAGAAAGTGAATATAAGTTTACAGTTGGTTGCTGAGAGCACAAAAGGCCACTGCATTTTGAGTCTTGCCTACACAAATATTGATTGATAGAGAAAGGTTTTTCTAACTGAATATAAAAACCTTAAATGGTGTAACCATGGCACTGCTCTGGAGCCAAGTCGTGGGTTAGCACCATGCCTCCTCTCTGACAACAAGAGCTGCAACAACAACAAAAAATTACCAAAAGATGTTTCTCAGGGTGCTGTAAGAGCACCTGCAGTCATGCAGGTGAAGAGCACTCATACAGCGTCCTTTCTCCTAAACCCTTAATTCTCGAGAAGCAATTCTCATTAAACCGGCAAGAGGCAACCACAGACTGCTCAAAGATGCACCACTGATAGCTAATGAGTGTGAAAGACACGGTGTGTGTGCTTATCCATGTGTGTGTGTGCATGCTGTGCTGATCCTTGACCCACAGTGCAACTAAACAAGAGCTGTGGGTGTGAGTCATCCTATTCTGTTTGGCCCACTTAGCAACTTGGGGCTTAGTGCTGCATTGAGCCCATTTGTAAAGGATCCAACTCGCTGAGAGACGGTGCACAATAATTAAATGGGACTCAGTGGTGGACTACCTCAATAGTGGAGTCACAGCAAGGTGAGACCATTGCAGGGCAGCAATTAGATAACTGAAGGTTTGAGGCACGCTGCAGCCTCGTATGTGCAGCAGGTCGTAGGCAGGAATGGTGTCACGACCGTACTGTAGAGAAGAGCTGTGAGCAAGCTATAAGAATGGCAGTAATGGCTTTTCTATATGGGTTTCCTTTGAGGGGAATAATTGAAAAGAATGTGAAGACATATAGGGAGGAATAAAGAGATTTTTTCTTTTACACATGTGCACACATAAACACATAAATGGGTGGGGGTGTTTTACAAAATCTATTTCATTGGTATTTCAGTCCAGGCAGTGACCTGAAGTACAAAGACATTTTGTTTATCTGGTAAGATTTGAGAAATACTACTGTACAGTAGATGTTGTACAATTCAGTTTTAATGACACATGATATATAATACAACACAACATGGCATGATGCAATATTTTGTCCATATATGAAAATATACCTGTGTTACACAACAAAAAATATGACACATAATACAGGCTGTTACGTGTGTGAAACACTGAAATGTCACAGTGATAGTTTTTTACTCTGCCCCCCTACTCATAAAGTTATATCAGTCATAAAAAAGTATACGACCGGGAGGAAAACCTGAGGCCCTCTTGTCACGCTCGCTAATGATGTAGTTTAAGCAGTGAGTCACAAAGGTCAGCGATATTAAAAATGTATGAATTCTGGAAATAACCAATAGGCTGTCTGTCATTCGAAAAAGCGACTAAAGAAGGAAACTAAAATGTGTATTTAACCCGACAAAAAAGATCAGCCAGTATGCAGTGATGCACGCTAACACAATCACAATAACAGAGAAAGAAAGGAATTCAAACTTCCGTCTCTTCCTTTAGATCTACCTCAGCAACTCAGACTTTCCCTTCGGCGCAGATCTAAATCTGTCTCACTGTTCCCCAATCTGGGAGAAAAAGCATCACAACTGACCTGAAATCAACATCTAGGAGCAGAACTTATCCTGCTCCTGGTTTGGGTGTTGTCTGGGCTGGCGGCTGACAGCTAGGTCGAGGCAGAGCTCGTGGCTGTGCTTGGGGAGGAGTTACTCTGCTGGGGGGCAGAAGGTTGGACGGAGGCGGCTGTAACAGCACCGCCTCCCGAAACAGTCTGGGCTCCCTCTGCTTCCTGAGTGCCTGCATCTCCATCCTCATCCTCTTCATCCTCATCTTCATCATCTGTAAGGGAAATCAAAGTCAGATCACTACAAGTCAGAGCTGTAAGCAGTAAATTGCTGCCATCAACAACTCTGTTGCTTCACCTTGGATAAAGTCAAGGCTGCGCAGGGCCTTGCCCTCTTTCTTGAAGTTGACGGTGTAATGATCCATATTCTCATAGCCACGCTCAACTTTGTCCAAGTGTGCTGTACTGGATGCTTCTTCAAGCCTGAGAGCAAAAGGTGCAGTTTGCATTATATATAGGATAAGAAAAATTCCCCCTCAGACAGTCAACACTTGTTATATATCAGCGATCTGTGATGATTAGCACATTCTGCACGTTATTTCTGGATGCCACAGCTAAAGATAGGGATTTGCCACATTTCACAGAGTTACTTTCGACAGCTCCAAGAGAGCAGGTGTGACCTCGCTGCATTAGACTGGGGGTTTTAGGTGCAGATGTAAATTTGGTAAACCACGAAAAAAAAAAAAGTGTGCAAACAACAAATGGCACTAAAAAACAATGAAGACACAACAAGGAGCAGCTTTTAATAGTTTTAAAGTTATAGTTTGGATCTTTTGAAGTGGGGTTGTGTGAGATACTTGTCTATAATACTACATACAGTAGATGTTAGTCAGCACACCCCCAGTTTTGAGAGGCAGGCTGAAGTACTGACACAGGAGCTCACAGTATTGCTGTACTGTGGAGGGGTCAGCGACAAAATGTATTTTAGCCATTTTAGCCAATTAAAACGAGTCCTAACAAAAAAAAGCAATATCAGATTATATATATTTCACCACTTAACCTCACTGTCAGACAATGATTTCCAGGGGGAACTGAAGACTTTATATTTCTCTCTAAAATTGTAATTCAACATCACTAAACACATGACCTTCTCGTCTATGGCTGCTTTGATCAGTTAGTTTGTTTGTGTTACATTGCGACTAAGCCTTTTAAATGGGTTAATTCACATTCACCAAAGTCACACAATAACAAAAACTAACTAATGAAGGCAGGCAGGGGTAGATCAGCAGCTCCCTCGTTCAGCAAGCTAAAATAACTGTTTTTCTCAGAGGAGTCTGGAGGCTTTGACGAGAGCATAGATGAGCAACTAAAGCTTTGACTGGCTCTCCCGTTTTAGGTAGCTGATACATTTTGTAGCCGATCCCATCCACAGCAGTACATTGCTTAGCTTCCATAGCAGTATTCTTGCCTGCTTCTCCAAACTGGGGGCGTGCTGACTAGCATTTACTACATGTAATATACTCACAACAAATAAGTTCTGCATACAATGGCACTTAAAAAATCCGAACTATCCCTTTAAGTCAGACAGGATTTTTGCCTTAAAATGAAGATGTTATCTTTTTACATAGCAAACATACTGTACTATTGATGCATAAAGACATGCACTCACTTTTTGAGGAGAGGCTTTGTGTTCTGAAAAAGACAAAAGCAAGAAAGATTAAATATTCATTCAACTCATATGTAAAATATTGATAATTGTGAGTTTATGCCAAAATGTTTTACCCTATTTGGTATTGAGTCTGACCTGTAGAAATAAAGCCATTTCCGGCTCCTCCATAGTCTGGATACCCAGCTCCACCATCTTACAGCTCTCCTCCAGATGGTCCCCGTACTTCCTGGTCAGGCTCCTGATATAGTTCACCTTCTCATCCTGTTCGGCTGTCACCTTCTGACTCATCTCCCTTTTCTTCTCCTCAAGGACGGTATACAACTGGTCAAACTTCTCACACACCAGGGTCTTCTGCCTCCGACCATTCTCCTGTACATGAGTGAGAGACAGAAGGAGACACACACAGGGAAAGATTATAGATCTGAAAGTCCATTCATATCAGTCGTTCCATGCATTTGTGTGAGTGAGAAATGTATGTAAATACAACTCTAGAGAAGAAGGAAAAGAGTACAGAATGTTGAAAATTTAAGATAGCAATGTTGCAATATATGAATGGTCACATAGATACTGTAAACAACACATGATCTGGTGTGCCCATTAGGTAATGCCATATGCACAGGGAGGACAGTGAAGCTCATCCTGCATGTCCGTTCTGAGTGACGCCACTGAGGGTGACACATGGGGGACTGGAGCCCATCCAGCTTCCTCCCTGTGACCAACTGTGGCACGTGAACCATAGGAAAGCTGTCTGTTCTCCCTCCATCAATTACACTGCTCATTTTTAATGTCAATGGGCCTGAGGCAGAGCAGAGTGCACTGCTAAGTGCATGTAGAAGAAAATGTGGAAAAGAGAGAGTAAGACAGACTGAGGCACCAAAACATTAATTTTCCCCTCTCCACATCTCTGTCTAAATCTCACAGACAGATAAAAGCAGACAGAAAGTGGCAGTGACAAGGACACATTACGTCTGTTTGAACGTCTGTGCAGGTGAGTGCAGGTGCATTAGCATGTGCACAGAGCGAGGCTTGCTGCGTGAGTGAGCAGCCAGGCGCTGCAGCAGTTGGACACTGACCTCTATGGCACGACAGGCTTCCTCTAGCTGACTAATGATGCCTTGCATCCTGTCGTTGTTACCAACCATCATGGCAATCCCGTCGCTCAGCTCCGTCTGGGGGGCAAGGACATGGCAGAGTAAATACCTGAGATAAACTGTGATTCAAATCTGGGACAAAGTTATAAGGCATGTAAATGTTCTCCACAGTGAACCTTTGTCAGATTAAGATTTTAACGTTTACTTTTTAACACAAACACATATTTCTGTTTCTAATAATCTTATAATTGACCTTATTCGTGATCTCCATGAGTATCTCAAGCCTCACCTTCTTTGTCTGGTAGATGCTGGTGATGGGCGCCACCTCACAGTCTTTGTGAGCTCCGAATACCTTACACATGGAGCATGTGGGCACGCCATGGGTCACACAGTAAATGTTGATCTTTTCGTCCTCATGAACATCACACATGGGCGTTTCTTCCTTTCTCTCTGGCGCTGGCTTGCTGCTGTTGAGGTTTGAAGAAAACAGTGGCATCCTCCTGTCAGGCTGTACATTTCAGTGCATACTGATGTGACATGTAATGTCAGTTTGATAATGTCACAGGTACACATCTCAGTAGTTTATTGATGATCCATCAGTCTTGCTTTGCCATGCAGATGGACTGTCAGCACTGTAATCAATACAAGGCTATTACACTGGGTTATAAACAGGTGTGGGCGGAGGTATAATAGCAGCATGTTTGGTTTCTATGGATTTCTTTTTTTTATGAATGCCTCATAATTACATTGTCAGGGCAATTTATCCCATACAAATCATTCAAGATGTCAGTTAATTGTCTGTAAAGTATTTAACTTACATTAATGCCACAAAATTTTGATCCAGTATGAGGCTGAGCATCCTGAGAGTGTGAGTGTTGTGGATCTTATGTCATACAAGCCTTTCGGCTATTCAGCCAACAACTCAGATCAGTAAAATTCTCTGTGTAGACAGATGACTAAAACTAAAACCTCCTGTCATCCACTCCAGCTCTCTGACTCAGAGGCCACTGGCACTGAGGCCACACCAGTAACCGCTACACTCCCGGCCATCACACTAGTAGTTTATCCTTATTCTCCTACCTCTATTCACTGTCCGCAGGGTTAATGACAGCTTTGACTGATAAACAAAGCTTTTCTCTGAACTGTGAAGAGACCACAAGAGAAATTGAGCACATCCAAGTATCTGATTTGTTTCACCTGCTGGACTCCTGTTTGAACATGTCGATGATGTTCTCAACCAGCAAGTTCCTCTGCAGCCCGTAAACACCGTGTCTGTCCAGAACCACCTCATGCCTGCAGGACGGGCATCGGAAGCGGCCACCAGATGACAGTGAGCCAGCTCTTGTTGGAAGGTACGGGTTTGAGGCCTGTAAAGCATCACCATTCAAACCTCAAATTTAGTACAATGGCACAAAGGTGATCTCTTCTGTAAAAAAATAACTGTTAATCCAATGAACTCACAGTCCATAATACAAAAGTCAAACCTCATCAGGTTTTAATTGTTTAATAATGTTTGTAAACATGACCTCACCTGTTCAAATGTTGAGTTGTGACACAGACAATGCTATTTTCTATCAAAAACTCTTCAATTACATGAGAATATTACCTGTTGTACATATAGGTTGTCCAATCAGTTACTGGTTTGGCCTTTCACGCATAACAAATGTAGGGCAAATTCATAAAACTATCAATGGTTCAAATGACATGGGCTGTGGAGATGTTTCTATAAAACAAAAAGTGCTCCTCAAGTTTATAAAAACCTTTTCTCTTAATGCTAAAAACTAATCAGAGACATTTTGTTCAGTTGCTTACCTGAAAAACATCATTGGCACATTTCCTGCAGAGGTTGTGCTGGCATGGCAGGATAACCACAGGCTTTGTAAACATTTCCAGGCATATGGGACAAATCAGCTGTTTCTCCAAGTTATCCATGGTATTCATTTTTGAAAAAAGCGCTTTCAGAAATACAGAAAACACTATCAAAAACCTGTATTAGATACGACCTCTAAAGCTGGTGATGTTAGAAATTTAGAGTCCGTTTCAGAGAGCGGTCTAAAGTAGGCCTGAGTCACTCTGAGGAGTAGGCCTGCTGCTCTTGTCCTAGGGAGTGTGGGCTCCTATCTAGCTGGTGTCAGTTCTGTTTTTAGCAACTATTGCTGTCACGTCTACGGTTGCCATTTTTACCCTGCCCTTATTTGAAACTGAGCAGTGCAATACTGAACAGCTGCCTACCAAACTCTTCATCCTCCCCTACACTGCTATCAGAGGTGGCTGGGTGTCTGTGCAGTGGGTGCTTTAGGGGGGTGGAGGCTTTACATCACATCCAAAAAACTGTTACTGCCCAATGAAAGGGGGCTATCAGAAATATATGGGGTTATGTAAAATTTTGCATAAGCAATAAGCTCCTAACAAATTTATTTTTGCCTGCCATCAAAGAGCACATTTTATGATTTTAATTATGTATCCATGACTTAGTTCTCATAATCTTTTCTAAACAATAAAACTATATTTATATAGAAAGTAGCTTTAACTGTAACTTACATACTAAAAAGCCATGTGCTAAAGTATGCCATAAACGTCTTTCAACATTTACCATGTAAAACGTTAGCCTGACGCTAATGCTGTTTTCTAGATAGCTCTCAGTAGAGTCCCTAGCTAGCACTGCTAGCACCGTTAGCATCATAGCAAGTGACGGCAGATGTCGAAAGCGTATTCGTGACGAACTTTGAAGCAGCAACGCCATGCACCTACGGGACGATGTCCGTGCCCACCAGAGGTAACAAAGTTAGCTATAAACTTAGCTACCTTTATACAATTAATAGGAAGAGAACGATATTTTCCGCTGCATTCAACAAACTAAGCAAAATTAGTTAAGAAGCTGTGGTTCAGTAACGTTTTTTTGGCTAGCTAAGAGTTCTTTGCACTTTGACAGCCAGCTAGCTAATGCTAAAGCTAACGTTACCTTACCACCCGTGAAATTTGTGACCAGTCTGTCCTGTTGTTGTCACTTCATCATTAACGTAGGCAGTAAAACAAGCAACCACGAAGGGATTATTTGGCTCTCTATTGTAACTGTTACGTGAACATAAAATACAATGAATTCAAGGGGGATTAAAAAGTTCCTTTGGAGAATGCGGGCATCGATCCCGCTACCTCTCGCATGCTAAGCGAGCGCTCTACCATTTGAGCTAATTCCCCTTCAGATACCAAATCATGACATCTACATATTTCAATAAACGCCCTTTTCATGTTTGCCTGTGGTTGAAATACGTGAAAATTATGTTGAAGTTTTTGTCATATGTGACATGTATGAGCTACGGTAGTTTAAGCGTCATACGGAGAAATAGAAGGCTAACCTAGCATTAATTTCCCTAACATTAGCTAGCTAGCTAAACGTCTGTAGCGAACTAGCAGCTAACTTCAACGTTCATGAACAATGGGAGGATTTTACAGCAGTAACTGTTGGTTTTCGTTGATTCTTGCTCTCCTAATGACAGTTGACCTCATGAGTCAGTATAACAGCAACTCTTTAGCCCGAGTTGAAATGATTTCAGTTGGAGCAGACGCGAGTTTGCGTCGAATACAGCGAAAATGTGTTCGACGGTTTCGGTTTGTTTCTCTACACACTTTTTAACATTATATTCATACATGTAGACACAACCTTTGCTGTGGTTTTATAAAATATGCAATGTTCACGTTGTGAATTAATTCCCTTCGATAGCTCAGTTGGTAGAGCGGAGGACTGTAGCGGATACATGGTAATCCTTAGGTCGCTGGTTCGAATCCGGCTCGAAGGAGAGATGTTTTTCGCGAAATGCATTATGGTATTATTCCTCAATCTTGTAAACGTGAATAACTAGAGGCAGTGTTATAACAAAAAAAAAAACAGCCCTGACCAAGTGATACGCCCACAAGTCAAGGTTTGTATTTATTTTTTTTACACATAAAGTGCAAGCAAATAACTGTCTTGCTTAGGAGAAGTTCAAATACAACTATTTTCTTTTCTTCAGTATCACAGGTTATATCGAGGAAGGAGTTGGAGAGATCCTCATTACTTATTACCACACCTGTCCCTGGTTAACATTGCAAAAATTGGACAGTGGTTGACAATGTGAGTAGATACTTTGGTTAAAAGTTCTTAGTTTTTAATCACCAGACAAGAAGGTTAGATTACAAATGTCAAGCACTACTGTGATTGCATTGGACGTCTTGTTGGTAAGCATACAGAATGCTTCATGCTAGGCAATCTGCATGTTAAATGAAAAATGATCACACCTGCAAGCACGCTGTTCAAAAGTTAATTGTTAATCTGTGATTTTAGTGTCTGATTTGGTGGCAACTAGTGATGAAACCAAACATTATCATTTGCTTTGACTGTGAAATGTCTTATAAATATGCTGCAAACATATTTAAATGCATAACTCATATATAGTAATTAGCAGTTGTGTTTAGGGCTGCAGAGAGCATCACACATTAATAAACTGTCTTTTTTCTGCATGCTTACACAAATGCTGTCATCTGTGCGGTGGTTCTTATCAGCAGCACTATCGTTATTTTAAATTAGGAACTGAAATGTCTGTCCTTCAGTAATGGAATGTTTGATTTTAAATATGTGTTGGGCCGTTTTAATTTATTTACATACATTTATTAGGTCTGGATGTCTTCTCAGTGATGTACAGGTGAAGGAAATCCTTCAAAGTGAGGACATTTTACTGGTCTTTACAGGTTAAAGAAAATTTTCCTGAGTTTAAAACTCTATGTTTTTAGGTTTCATGATGTGTTTCAGAAACATATCAATTAAAGGTACAATATGTAAACAAATTGCTGCGGTTACTGTCAGTGTTTTTATTGAAAACATTACTTGTTGATTTTTTTTTTCCAACAAGAATCTTACCCAAAAATATATTTTTTGCCCATTTATTTATCTACTCATACTGTTGGGTTACTACAATACTATTCAACTACACAGGGGTCCAGGGAGCTGTACTAGTTGTGAAGTTCCCTGTGGGTTTTTTCCAATGATAGGTTACATTTTAAGATACTGTTTAAGTCTGTGTCAGTACACATAGGATCATCAAAGTTCTGGCAATTTATGACCCATTTAAGCACACCTTGTGTAGGTTTTCATCTGACTTCTTTTTCTTTGACTCATACAATAAGACACCTGCCTTCTTTGCACCTTTATTCACTTTATGATATAGTCACGAGGCTGTGCGCACACAATGCTTTTGTCACACAGGCACGTCAGAGTCAGTGAGTCATATTCAAACGATTTACACAGATGTTATCACTGAAAATGAATGACTGTCATTCCTCAGCTCCCCTCTCTAATTTGTCTCTCTTTGTGTATTTTGGTGTCCACCCAGGGACAACAGACCACACGTTGGGAACTGCAGCTGGAAAGACACTCTAAGCATGCACCCAGTTAACGTCTTAAAGGTGAGAATTATGCCCTAATAATACAGAAAGGCAAATCAAACTAGAGTCACCTTTATATACAACTTTTCACATTGAGTTTCTTGTGATTTGTAAATCTGTGAAAGTGTAAAATAGCAAACATTGCTTTTTGCCATTAAATACGGTACGTATAGGCATGTGCGTTTCACCTGATTTTCCTTTCTGTATGTATATTTTTCATGTGATCTATAACAAACAATGTTTTCCTGTAGCGTTGTAAAGCTGTGGGCACCACTTCATTTAATACTAATATGGTTACATATTCATTAACAACAAGCAAAGACTGCTCAAATGCTCACCATTTGGATGGCTCGATTAAGAAGATGTCCTGGGTTATGCTTTTGTGATTGAATTCCTAATTTTTAAACCATTACTGTCTGACTCATACTATTGCAGTGTCTGTCGGTAAAAGTGCAATTAAGATTGAAGATTGACAAATTAAGAGCAATATGAGGATTTCTTAAAGATGAAAAGTCGATGTGAATACCAGACAGAAGTTGATGGCTTAAAGAGCTCAGTGTGACCCTCCTGTTCCTCTCTTTTGTTCGGTGGTGGTGTTTTGATTATATAGTAAAAGGGTCTGCAGGTACATTCAAGGCCACAAAATACACACATAAACTCGCACACAACCACACACATAAAGGTCTACAAGCTCATAAGCAAGATAAAAGTGTGTATGGGACCAGAATAGGGAGCAGAGCAAAGGGTGCCATCTGTTCTGTTGTATGAATATTTCAGTTAGGTGGAAGTCATATTGTATTCATACAGATGGTAAGCAGTCGTTGCCTGGGATTTAAAAGGTCTTTGTAAGCATTCTCAGATAATGTGGTCTATTTCTAATTTTTCACATTTGTCCTAAAATGACCCACCAAAATGGAATTATTGACCTTGAAACATCACTTAGGATGTGAACATATCCTAATACTAGAACATATCCTGAACAATTAGAAATACTGTCGCCTGCAAATTTAATCCTGTAAAAAATATAACTAGTAATGAATTAATACTGGTACAGACCTCATAGTAATTGTAAAGCTAATAGTTATTAATGGAGATTTCCTTGGGATTAACACAAAAAAATAAGTACATACATAAAGGGAATTGTGTAATGATAAAAGATAGCAAATTCAAATTTTAAGTAGAGGAAGTTGTTATTATCATAGTTGGTATTTCCCACATTATTTTATAATGTCAAGGACAGAGTTGAGACTTGATTCTTTATCATGAAAAGTGAAAAGAAAATTAAGTTTGCAAAAACATTAAGTGTTCATGGTTGCAAAAGATTTTTATGATTATGGACAAGTTACAGCATATGTAATCTATAAATGTGGTGATTTTAAATGTTACAAAGTACAAAAACACTCTTTAGTACAAGTTGAAAAGGTACAAGTACACAGCAACGATTTTCAAATACAGTAACAGGAGTAAATGTAGTTAGTTAATCTCCTGTTTTTCTTTCTTCAGGGTTTGAAATTAACACCTGCCAAGCTCCAGATGCAGGTAGATTTTCCATTTGATGAGTAAATCTCTTTGCAGGCTATCCACCACACTGGTGAGTAAATGTTTGTACCAAAATAGTAATGTGATAAAAAAAACAATGCTGTGTGTTTGTACCACATTTTGGTCTCATTTAGAGGCGCTCCTCTG